CAACCTTTCGACGACGATACTGCTTCGGTCATCGTCAAAAGTTGTCGTTGAAATTGTCCTGAACATGACTTATCATAGGACAGGTCCAAGGCGCTTTTATGCTGCCTTTAACACAGACTGACAGATGAAGTACCCAAGAGAGAAATTACGATGTTAGCAATAATAGTATCGACAATAATAGTCGGTTTTATCCTTCCGTGGAAAGCGTACCGGGATTAAAAAAAAAAAAAAAAGGACAAGCCAGTTGCGCTGCACGTATCAGTGGCCTAAGCAGGTTGTTTAGCTCTTTCCGTATCAGTTTCCACGGAAGCGGCATGAAAATTGCGCTTGATTGCGACTGTAATACGCTAGCAAACAGAATTACGGCACAAACACAGTGCTGTCTCCTGAGCAGATCTATTAGGATGACTCTCGTTGACATATTCGACGCGTACTTATTAACTTGAATACAAAAGGCATACATTTTTCAAGATAATGAAAAACGCATCGATCTTCCGATGTCGTCAACCTAGCGATGTCTGCCTTTCCACTTTGCCCACTGTCCTTGTGCGGGCAAATCCACTTCAACCTAATGGGAATCCTGCCCTTCGCCCTCCACTTGAATAGCGCCCTAATCACTAACAGCTCCGAATAATAACATTAGGAACCGGTTGACCATATTGTATTGTACTATAGAATTGATTAGCTAATCCTAATAGTCGCGTTATGATGATCTCTATCTCGTAGGCAGCGACAGTTTCGAGCGTAGAAACGTCAATGTCCTATTCGAGCCGGACAAACGACAGACATAATAGTATTTACGTTAATAATTCGTTAACAGATATTCGTACAGGCGTATAATACAATATTTCGCTAAGTTACTTTTGTTTTTCTGAGACGTGCGCACGACCGTGCGCGCCAGTGGTAGTATTTGCGGCGGCATTAACGTTACCTACGCATCAGTCGACAGCCCTTCGCTTGGTGTTACCATTAGTCGGCCATTTGTGGCTATCCAACTGTCAAACGGCCATCGTCTTCGAAAAACGTTCAGGTTTACCTGTTTATATCGAGTTGTTAAACTTATTTCTCTTCGGTGCGTCACCCAGCCTACTACCGCCTGCCGCCACAGTCCAAGCACAATTTTGACACACACACACGTAAAGAAAGATCGCTTTTTTACTATATATATATATATACAGTATATTAAGAAATTGCTGAACAGTAGAGGTTTGACAGGCTGTAATGTCACGTAAATCTAAGTGAAGGACGAATAAAAACGGCTTCGATAGAAAATATACATGAACACACACGCCTTCAACTATTTGCTACATTGACGTATACGAAATTGTGGCCTATTAATATTGATACATTATTATAGTATTTCGTAAAAATGAAGCGAAGCACCGCAGCAGCCTAAAGAATTAGAAACAAAATAACTGCTTTAGGCTAGGATAGATGTGCGTATCTCATGCAAATGTCAAGGGGAGGCTGTTTTTATTGGCCTGCTGACAAAATAACATGAGAAATAGGTTAAGTCGACTGTTGTTCGTAGACAGTGTGAGCCATCATGGAACACAGACAGATGTCGCCCGCTCGATAGAGAAGACCTGGCAATGAAAGGGAATAAAACGACTAGTCACGCCTTTTAAGGAAAGCATAAATCTGACGACAATCGGCGACTGTGTTTACAAACACGATATCCGTTGTCGTTTCTTCCTTCTTCCAGTCTTGCGGCCCTCTTCAGAGGGCAAATCTTCAACTTTCTTCAATGATATCGCTCAGCGTTCTAAAAACTTGTAGCGGATCGTAATGCGCTCTACGGTTTTGCTTTGAGTGTCACATATTTGGCGTTTGATATCTATATTTCTTCGTTGTGTACTGTGAATAATATGCCAACAGGCCTGATGCAGGCTTGATGTTAATTTTGCCGATAGTGAAACGTGTCCTTATTTTTCCCGTACACGTTTAGACTAAATCTTTTACATCTTTATTGTCTTTTCACTGGCTCTCCGCCGTCAGCACTTGTTTGCCACTTATCACTCAATCTTACAGCGTCTTTTACTGCTAGTATCTCTACGTAGTACACTTTTTATCCGTTTTTTTCCCTACGATAACATTTTATCTTGTTTCATACGATTAACTGGATAGTGCTTACTTTCTTTATTCATACTGTTGATACTTCAACGCAACTCGCCATCGGCTTTCTCATTTACGAAATACGTTCTGTATATAAAATGCCACCAGCTCGTAAACCTTCCCGTCATATTCGACCGCTGTGACATGCAGCAATGTCAGCGTAACAGAATAGACGAAATTCTTTTGTTAACGCCTTTATGTCGTTGTGTCCCACAAGACCACGAAAGAATATAACACTACCCCCCCCCCCCCCCGTTGCTCCCCTCCCCGGCATTCCCATAGCCATCTACGACGTCCTAGAGCAGGTACTCTATAATGGCACGGCACGCATCGTGTGCCCAAGCCCGACCGATTCCCGAAACGAGCGGCACATGTTTGCGGCGTATATACATACGTCCCGCTGAGAACCTGTCCCGCTCAGTTACGCCCTGTCTCGCAGGGCGCGGGCGTCAAGAGCGATGATCGGCACCCGGCCTCTTGCTTTATATCGACAATACGGCACGCACCATCTCTCCCTCTGACTCGTTCCGTCTGAGCATCGAGGGTCTCGCGTAAACTGTCGGCCGACAGTTTTGCGACTCGTTACGTCGCCGGTGTATTACTCAGTCACATGGCTTATCGTTCGGTCGCTCACTTGCCAATGCCCAACATGAGTCGTCTCGAAACGAAAAAGATATTCCGTCTCATTCGCCTGCTCACACTCGCTCTGTCGACGGCCGCCACATCCACAGTAAGAGCGCCACGCTGCCGTCGTTGTTCGCTGGTTGATTGATTGATTGATTAATGGATGAGGAATCTAGACACCAGCCATAAGAAAGAGGAGTCGCTGGAGAATCCACTCGATCAGATTGGTGCGGTGACCAACGATTCCAAAACTATGGCCGCAGCAGTGATGGCAGGGGCAACTGCTCACAGCCTCGACAACAACAACCGAGTGGGGACGGCAGCAAAGTAGTGCTATCACTATGGGAGCATTGTTAAAACGCCTACGAGTTTTTCTCGTAAACTTTCGCTTTTGTTTTTCCCTACGTTCGTCTTTTTGCGACATCCTCTCACCGCAATACATTAGATAGCAATACGCCGCCATAGCGCGAAGACAGGGAATCACTTTTACCGTGTCTGTTATTGCTGCTAGTGAGGATCTCAGCAAAGGATGGATACGCCCTCGAAAATGGTAGGCGGAGAACCTCCTCACCTATCACACAGCCACACAGACAGTGCTTCCCGTTGCTACCAAAGAAACAATGGAGAATACGAAACAACACTGGCGTCTGTTGCGTGCTACAACCATTGTGTCAGTCGTATTAAACATGTGCATGTACAACAGTCAAAAGGATTTTGCCATCTTGCAAACGTCCGTAGACAACGAACGATCGATCGATCGACGGTTCCGTCGAACACTCAGTCGATCATTTTTTCGAGAGCCATAAAAAAAAAGAGGAAAGGTATCGAAAGCACATTGTTATGACTGTTGTTTTATCTATATCTGGTAGCGTTTAATGAAATATACGGTATCCCTGTTGGAGAAACGGGTGTTCATCTCTGTAGTGTAACACACCACTGATCTCCTGTTATTAGCATCAATATATTTTCCTGATTGTAAAACTATCTGACGAATCATAGATATCTGATTACCATAGTTAAAAGGGTTATCGATTATGCTGGCCATTAATAAGTGGTTGTCCTAGGCGGTGCCTAGGAAAGAAGTAGCACATCGATATGGTCCGTTAACCCATGATCCCTTTGTATCGGCGATAAGCGGAAAATCGCTATTTGATATAAGGCATATTCTGCCATCATGTCTACCGTCGACCAGTTTTGTAACAGCACAGGGAACGCCTATGAGCGTCCAACAAAAGCATTGATCCAGTTTGCTAAACCTCGAAACTCCCTAATCCACTGCTGCAAGTATCACAAAAAGGTCATAACTAAACAACTACTGAGCTTCAGTGAATGTCGCTTTTTTTTTTTACAAAGAGTAGTAATAGGTCGTAATTCCTATTCTATTTTTGATAGACCAGTTAATTTTTCGCTAATTAATTTGACATTTTCTCTCTACGACGAAGACCTGTAGAGGGATCGCTATCAGAGAGCGTTCGCGAAACAGAGCGAGAAAACGGGTCCTGATAGACGGTAGGCCTCAAAAATAATATATGTACCTAAATAGAGCAGATTGATATATGTGGACACTGACCTCGCCGGATCTTCTTTTTTGCCATCGTCTTCATGATGCTGATGATTGTACAAATAGACACTGGTATCGTGCGCGGCTCTTCAATATAGATTATTATTTTTTCGGGAAATTTATTCGTAGCGATGGTCATTCCCAGGGGTAAATTTGCCACCTTGAATGGAATTGGTTGGTAAAAAAAATTGAATTCATCATGAGCCATTAGTGAAGGTCCGTGCTCCTCATATCATCGAGATTTCCCTTTGACAACGGCCTTTAAACGACGTCATCGCTAAAGAAGGTTATTCTTTAACCACAAACGAAGTTGATTTTACTAGCTAACTAAAACTGACTGCTAGACCCGCTACCTTCCGGCTAAAATAAAAAAAACATATCGTTGATCACCTGAACGAAGATAGTCGTGACGTTTTCATAAAGCTATGTATTCAAATCTCCTGCTAAACAAGTCAGGGCACGGGATACGACCAGAAAGGCACATGCTAGGTTTCCTTCTTTGTCTTTAGTCTTCAAGAACGACATAGACTATCAAAAATCCCAGCGTAACGACGGTTAGTTATTTGCGCGGAAAGTTCCAAGACTTAAAGAAGTGTGGATGAGAAAATGTCGCAGCAATTTAACACTGCTAGCCGACAGCCTACTTATTATCTGGCGGCTGGAAAGAACTTCCTTTTCGAAACATTGGAATATTACTCACATGGGGTTTGACGAATTCCAGTAGATATCCGGAAGCTTTACAGCGTCCACCATTGTCGCGTCGTATAAACATACGATTAACAGCAGGAGCAACCGCGACGACGATATCAGCGCTGTGGCCAGTGGCGCTTCCCCCCGACTTACGGGGGCGCCAGGCAATCGCCACATTGTCCTTCCACTGTTTTAATAGTTCACCCCTTTCAAGCCATGTCTCTTGTCAAGAAGAGACTGCTCTCGATATCGAAACAACTCCTTTTAGTCCTCTAAGAAGTTTGCAGCATCTTTTGAATAAGTTACTTATTCGAGTGTTCGAGACGAAACTGATCTCTTGTATTTAGCTTGTTTGCTTTTTTTTTTTTTTCTATTTACACGATAATCGCGTCGGAACGACACATATTGTGACAGATATCAGTTGAACTAGTTGGCGACGCGGAAAGACAACGCCAGCAATCTCAATGTGATTAAAAAGCTTCACACATAAGCCGGTCGATGCTATTCGCAAGCTTGCTAAGAGCGGACATCCGTTATGACAAGTAATAGTCCTAGCGGGGGAGGGGTTCGGGTCCGAACGTCCGATAGTCAGGAAGCACGACGCGTACGGTGATGAGTCACGTTATATCCAAGAGTGGCCATAAAAACATATTCCAGGGCGCGCCAACAATGGCATCAACGTCTTCCTCTAATCTACCCCACTACTCATTTTCTCTCAACTTCACTAAAAACACAACGATTTGGTTTCACTTAATGCACCTCATCATCCTTCGTCATTTTCTGCATGAAGCAAACATAAATTGCATCACAAATTACGAAGTGTTCATAGATCCTAATTCTGTTCAAACCGTCACCATCGATGAATTGTTCTTGACTAAGTGCCTCAACACGACAATAACTAAAAAATGAATAATAGCTTCTTTTGCAGCAGCAGCAGTCACTATTTGATCCAATAGCCATCCATGCACTGATATCAGACGATTCCAAAACTCCGGATGTCGCCAGGAGTACGACAATTGATTTTTACTTGTCTACAAATCTCTGTTTCTGCTCGCTTAATTCATCTTTTGGAGAAGCTATATGGCACGTTGACGAACATTGCTTTGCTCCTGAGTCGATCAGACCGGCCGACTTGCGACAGTGGCCTGCGTCCGTCCTAACTGCTTTCCTCGTTTCTGCAGGAAGCCAGTCGGCATGTTCGGCGATAGCTTGTCTGCTCGATTACCGGGCTTTTCTTCGTTGTCGCTTTAAGGCATGGAGGCACTCCCTGTCAGCTTTTCATTGTTGAGAGCATGCTAAGGCCTGTCAACAGCGCACGCACGTTCCGGCGCGATCGACCCTTGAAGCAGCGTGGTCTCTCCGTCGCGAAGCGTCGAACCCGACTGACTTCCTCGACTATCGACGATCTGGCTGCCGGTACTAGAACGGGCTACGCGGGCGACTCTCTCTGCCAGAAAGCTGCCGCTGGGCTGTTGACATCAGCGCCGTTGCTAGCGCCGCAGCAGGCGCCGTTGCCGCCGCCGCCGTCTTCGCGCGGCACCAGGAGCAGCTCGGACCGACGACTACCAGAGAGAAATTCGTCGCCGCGATGCAAAGAAATGAAGCGCCTTTGCGCTATTTCTCGTTCGTTCGGGTGTTTGAGTGTGGTGCCGATGGTAGCGGCAACGGCGCCGGCGACTAGCAGCTGCTCAGCACGGCTGTGCGAGCGACGACTGTCGCGTCTGATACAGTGTGTATTGTATGGTTTGGGCTAAAAGCTGCGCCACCGATAGCAGCAAACGGCGATTTCGGCCAGCAGCGAAAACTACAACGCACGCCACGGCAACAATGAACCCCATTTAATAGGAGACACCTGAAAGCGGCGGTCGGCAGTGTCAGTGTAGACGATTCTATAGGACTACAACTACAAGGCAAGACGGACCGACAATTTGTTGCTGCGTCTGCTGCTCTAGAATGACAATATCAAACAGAGTGACGTTACTATATCAATTGTTGAAGGCGTCTGATTAGGTACGCAGCGGGTAGGTTCCGATAAGGGTAAGGACCGTTACATGTCTGTGTATAGCCTAATCATAGTCGCATGGCAGCAAGCGTGCAAACGGTGCGCTAGCACTTGGGAGCATTTTTACTAGATATGATGGAACTTGATTTTTTCTATAAGAATGGTTACAAATTTAAGGCCGTTCGAGCGACAAAAGTCAGCAGTGACAAAGCTCTTTTTCTCGAGCCAAAAGTTACAGAGAAGGAAGGCCGTCTTAAGAAACAACTAACCTAACCTAGCCTAGCCTAGCCTATTGCTTTAGCACTGACACAATGACTTCGGGGATGAAATAGTCCGCCATTCAAGCGCCATTTTTACTGCAACGATGAAACGTATTGCCAATGCGTCGACTGTAATACATGGGCACTTCCTTCAGAAGCTAGTTTTTAATTAGTCTCTACTCGTTGATTGAGTCAATCACGCTAAACGTAAGCCTATACTTGCTTCTTACTATGCCTTCTATCTTATCATTACGTTTCTGTTGATAGATATTTTTATTTACGATTATATGTTATTGGTGATGACCGGATCTGCGGTAGAGCTGTCTAAGTATTCGAGTAGTTTCAGATCAATGTAAATTTCGAAATATAGGATAGATATATACTTACAATGATATATTGCGAAAGTAAAGTCAGCTGTCAGGATATTCTGTGGTCAGGGCTGTAACTGACCCTTCGGCGATCTTTTCTTTGTATCTATATTTAGCAAGATTAAAGCAATAGTATAGAAAATGATCCTTTCTAGCGTAACGGCGACTGGTAACAACACCGAAATAAAAAAGATTCCGATTTTAGACTTTTGCAAATAATTATTCTTTAAGAATTGCGTAGAACTGCTGCCAGCCAGCTTAGCTAAACCGAAATTTCCGACTGTTATTATTATTATTATTTTTTTTTTTGTTTTGTTTTGTTTATTGGTTACGTGTAAACAAGCGAGCGTATAACTGGCAAAATACAAACTGGCTAGCGTGCTAGTTTTGAAATTGTAAGATATGCCCATATAGGAAGATGGAGAATATTTAATTACTTACTATTTACCTTACGATACACTTGTACGGTATCATCCTCGTCAATGATATGTTCTATCCCAGCGTAACGTTTACTAACAACGCCTTTCAGACTGACGAGAAACGGTCCTCTCGGAACTGTTCGAGAATGACGAGCGAATAAAATCAACCACGTATTCCGAAGTCGCAGGTATACTAGATATGATTTTCCCACGGAAAGGTCTGCCGTCGGCATGGGTGCGTCGAAGTGAACGATGGTACGCTCGACGCAATGGTCCCTCCTAGCGAAGTACAATACTCGCGAATAACTAATTTACATTCAGTTTGTGAAACTCAGATCTTCTGAAGCTGTCGCTTTAAAACTGGATCATCTGCAGTCTTAAGAATCGTATCACCTCACAGATCTTCAGCAAACGAACACTTGGTCACATGCGGGAACATCGAAAATTGAAGCAGTTCATATCTTCACACTTGAATTATAGAGTGTAACTTGAAGGCGATCGATCGATCGATCGTTAGTGCAGAATAAGGTTCAATGCGGGCGCACGTACAAACAGCACGAACGTACAGTTGCTACGCAATATCGATGTCGTAACTTTTTTTTTCAAGTAGGGAACAGCTAAGCGATACCGAACGTCTCTTGTTCTACTGCAAGTTACCTTTAATTTATATAAAACCTCTGTGTTTGACTGTTTCTCAGACGAAACGTTTGTTCAGAAACTGTAGATCTTAGTTTATTTTCAACGTGGCTGCTGTACGCTGCGCTTGAGTGAGACGAGCGTCATGCTTTCTGGATCCCTCTAATAATAATAGTAACCAATAACAATAATCCGAGTATCTGAGTAATGAGATAGTTGTTCTTAATAAAAACAATACAGTAACGTTCGTATGAAGGCGTCGCATCGCTACCCACTCAACCGTTCGGTGGTTACTCGATATTGCATTTGTTAGATGGCTCAAAGAGAAATCGCACTTACTATTCACGGGGTTGTCAACAGAACTCTGCGCAGGCCGATCTGCGGTAAACGCAAGCCGGGTTGGATGAAATGAAGGGAAAAAATGCGTTTCTTTTCGTTGCCTTCTTTACAACCGTTCGCCGCTCGTCCCTATTTAGATAGAATGCAGGTTATTTTCCTTTAAAGCGCTCGGATTATTTCGAACGCCTCGACGGCTGGCGGTAATAGTAGACGCGGTTTTTCAGGCTAGCTAGAGCAATGGAATGCTAAAAGTATCTTAGGGTATGCCAATGTTCTCGTTTGGATCGCATCGTGAGCCATTAAGAAGAGGTCACCGCGTCCGCGGTGCACATGGTGACCCTCCTCGTCAACAAGATATCATGTTTGTCATCTGGTACATCGACTGAAATCACTATATATAGTTCAACTGAAAATGGCCGACACAATATGTCCTCAGAGAACATATGTCCTTTATGGATAAAATATGGTCTGTCGTATAGCTGGCGTTCCGCATTAATAGCGACTCAGCGGAATTGGCAATTGGATTGATCTTAATTGTGTTAATTAAGCGAACTATATTAAAGCACTATTCTTAATTGCGTCTATGGCACGCTACACAGCGGGCGGGCGTGATCAAGTCGTAGAAGCGTTACGGTCTCGGAACAACAATCGATCTACCCTAATCTTAAGTTACATTCACGGGTCTTTTAGATTTTTTAATTTCGAGCTAAGTTCCTAATGCGTTCTAGTACAATTTCCGCATCGAATTTATATTCGAACTGTCACAAAAAGCTTCTCATCTGGAGTACTGAAACAACGTTATTTAACCAATCTTTCTCAGAATATCTCGCCATGTGTCTTTTAAATACGGTAAACATACAATTTATGTTTGTTAGGCCGGTTGTCGATATGCACTAACGATACTTTATCCCGTTCTGAAATAGTTTCGAACGGCGTTGTTACGCGTCGCCGCGGTGTTTCAATCAGCAAGTTCTGCAGAGGTTGACTTTTAGTCCCTCTCACTTGAGCTTTTCGGGGCTGAGTCGCTGGATCGGTCGGCAATCGCTGCTGTCGTTGCCTTCAGATCTCTACGGTTCTTACTACTGCCGTAGGTTGTTGTCCTTTCGATCTGGTAGCGGCAGACGGCGGCCGGTGGTTTAACGTGTTAATAATTTATGACACGTATTATTATCAGGATCATTATTTTCAGAATTTTGTGGTTGTTGTTGTTATTGTTACCATCACTGTGATTATGATTCATTTATTGTTTCAACAGGGGGATTTTCTGGTCGCTGTCAAAACGATGGATACACGGAGTGACGGACAAGCAGGCGTAAATGGGGATTCGACCGCAGTGCAATTCGGTGTGGTCACACGCGGCGCGGCGCTGTGGCCAAATCGTTCGTTAATGGGCCCTGTCGCCCAGAGTGCCGAAAGCCCTCCGCCCACGTCAGCCGTCACCACTCGCTGCTGCACATAGAACAGCTGCAGTACGAGGGTAAGTGCGGCCTTAAGGCTCATGTACATCCGAGCAAAGGCATGAGTTGCTTGAAAAATAGATGCGCGTGCCTTTAGCGAATTTAGCAGCTGAACGACGTGGCGGCCTCCACGGCGACTATAGCTCGTTGTTGGAAACGAGGTAGTCTGTAAACTGATTTGCGTACGTTTTGTCGCGAGGACAAAAAGCGAGTGTTATACTTAAGCGTGTTTTTTTTTTATAGTCAAAAAAATATTTAATCAAAATTAACATAATAATAATTATTTTAGTTCTAGGTTTAATATAATTCAAGCGTAACGCAAGGAGATGTTAATCTCGGAGTTACAGGAGACATATTTTTTTGCTGGTTATAATACATTGGCCAACTTTCAGCTCAAATTGAGGTTCGTACTGGGTAGCTTGGACTATCAGGTGTTGCTACTGCATCGACAGTTTGTATCAAAAGTTTCTCATTAGACGGAAGACTGATTCTTGCTGGCAATATGACCAAGTAAACTTTAACTGATCGTATATTTGTTAGCAAAGCCTGTACTGGGACCCATAATATCGGTTCTCCGTCATCTATACTTTGTGCAGATTTAGCATCTACAGTGGTTTTAGCAGTCTAGAGGTGTCTCACAGGTGCAGATGTAAAGCGCGTACGAGAAATTGATCAGTCGATTGGTTACCGTAAATTTCCACTCATCTAGAGAATAACTGTGCACACTGTGATATTTTTTTTTTTATCATTCTTCATTAAAAAAACTATGAACGCACTCATGTATTGTGGTCGATGTCCTGCTTGGCTTTAGGCATCTCATGTTTAGATATAAAGGCACCATCAGCATCTGAGGTCGTAAGAGGATTTCTCGATTAAGTTTTAAAA